TCCACTCTGGTAAAACAAATAGCTCTGCGAAACAGAAACAGAAGTGTCCAGTTTCAAATCAGTAACATTATTCCTTGGCAGAAAAGGAGCAAAAACTCACCAGTGGGGATTTTACACTTTATACTCCATTATGTCCAGCGGTACAGAGGAATCCAGGCAACGCTTGTAGAGACAGCAGGGGACGTGATGCGGAGACATTGTGAATTATTTAGGCTTTTCTCCGTGTGATCAGAGTTCATTATTAAAAGATGTGTCCGCCATTCAACAGCTGCCTAGGATGGAGCTTCCTGGACTGTTTTAGATGGTCATACTCTTGTTAGGTCAATGTAGGCTACATACTTTACATTCCCCTGGTGAGATTGATGATATTGGATTAAATGAGGCTTGGATAAATCTACCAGGAAAAATATATAAGATAAATTCCAGTGTTGGCACATAATGGTGTGCAAACGTACAAGATAATTCACAAAGAAGTAAAACAGGGTATCTTTTTTTCTGTGAGGCTTAGAAACATTACTGGATACCATACTGACCCACAACATCAATTACTGTCATAATCAGAAAACAGACAGCCTGTATACTATACAGTTCATCAAATAAACTTGCAGCACATTCATTGTAGTCTGAGAAGTAAACAAGATCACTGGCAAACTCAGCTGGTAGCAGACTGAATAGCCTCCCAAAAAAAAAGAAGAAAAAAAAAGACGTGTTGTAGAGACACAAAGCCATCAGTTTCATTATTATTGTAGTAATTGTTGTCTATGGCATTTAATTCATTTTTAATTACCCTGCCACTCAACTTCAATGGTTGAGACTCAAGTGGAGACTCGGGTTTCGCGGGAAACAAAAGTATCGCCATGGTGACTGAAAGCCAGAATGCACTGCAGCAAGTGTTTGCAATGGTCGCAGCTCTCACTGCATCAGTGAACACGCTTATTCTGCAAAAACAACTGGTTTCAACAACAATAATATAGGTCAACTGCAAGATCACCAAACTTTCACATCTTTCCCATGCTAAATCATGTCAATCTTTGATTCTAAGCACAAGAATTGTTCAAATGTCACCAGCATTAGTCATACCTGCAATGAAATTCAATGAAATGCATGTTTGCTATATGTAACTACTTGAGTTTAATGAAAAAATGTGTCGATTTACATGATTTATTCATGTACGTAGGTTTTACATAATGAATCAATAAAGTTACATCAACATATTTTTTCTAGATTTCGTTCAAATTAGTTTTTACAATTCAACAATTATTGGCCAATAAACTAATTTGATTTACGCATTTTAAACAACAATATCACAAAATTGGAGTAAGCTACGTTTTACGAGAAAATACCATTTCAGTCTTCAAAATTCCACACTTAATTCAGTGTGTTACTAGCCATTTCTTTTAAATTAATACGTTTTACGAGAAAATACCATTTCAGTCTTCAAAATTCCACACTTAATTCAGTGTTACTAGCCATTTATTTTAAATTAGCTGTGAAATTTATTAGCAATTTATTAGTGAAAATTGTTTCTACACCATTTTTATAAGTAGCCGCGAGCTTACGCACGTAGACTACTTGTGTTTGTCTCTTCATTTGCAAATGTAGCAACTTGCATTAAAGAGCAAACTGTGAAGTATGAGTGCAAAGAATATTCAGAGGGATCTTACTTGATGAGTCACCGTTGCTATAGTTACAGCTCAACTACATCATCCCCAAAATGCATAACAAATGCACCATCGCGGCACCATATTAATGGGACGTCAAAGACTGTGCAGAATATATTTCCACCTGATTAGAATGAAAGAATATACGTTTCTTCTGAATTTCATTCTTAAATTAAAACAAATATGGCTCTGGTTAGGAAATAAAAATACAAATAAAAGAAAGCTAGAGATATAAAAAAAGAGATAACTGATTGTGTGTAGAAGGTGACCCACTGGGATGGAGGGAATAAAAAATAAGCAGGTTATAAAATGGCACTGTCAAATGTACAACAATGTGGTGGCCACATGTATCATGTATCATTCATGTATCATGGCGTTAATATATAACATAGGCCTACTCCAAAAAAAACAAAACAATTGTGCTCTGTAATATGTGACAAAATTGGTTTTGGCTATGTGATATTTTCTTTCAAATATTTCCTTTACATGGCCTTGACTCACATCCAAGCCTTGTCAGACACATAGCTTCTGCGCTCTGACTTGTTGACACACAGCAGTTTCTGTTATTCCACAATTTCTGTGAAAACAGCAGGATCACAGAGATGTCATTTTTAGTGGCTGGATTTTTTCCCCCTTAGACAATGTTCAGAAGAAATAGCTCTTGCCTGGCATTTCTTTAGAACAAACCTGAATCTTGGCCAACTAGGCTAGGTCAGTGGAACAGTATGTTTCGTAAATAATAAAAAAAACGGTCAAAGTTTATTTGACTTTAAAAGGAGACAAAAAGTTTAAACGCCTGTTTGTGTTTTTTGTTAGAAATGCTTTAAGAATGAGCAAAACAAAGCAGGGATCACAAAATATTTAAAATAGCATTTTTACATGTGCACAGCTGTACAGTTAAATGGACATTTAAACAAAACTAGATCGCTGCTGACATCTGGTGGATATGAATGGATATGTTTAGTAAAAATATGAACAAGTGGATTTGCAACACGAGAAAATAACGAATCCTAAAGACTTGTGCTGCGTCTCAATGTGCCTACTTATACTACGCCCTTAAAGTATGTACTCTTATGGTGAAGAAAAAGTACACACTTTTGAGTGTGTACCCAGCTAACAAAAATGAGTTGTCAGAAAATAGAATAAAAGTTATTGGTTCTTGTTCAGCAGCATATTTTATTTATTTACAAGTTAAACTTAAGAGGTAAGAAAAAATAAAGCTGCAGCCATGTCAATTACACAAAGATCAGAAATATGGCAGGCCTATATACTATAGCCTACTGGTCACACTCGTAATTTCTGTGCATATCACTTCTAAAATGATGGCATTCCAAGAACGTTGTTTTAACAATGTTTTCGCTCAACCTCCTGGGAACATCAGCCAAGTATAGATAACATCATAAAGACGTTACAAGAACGTTGTTATGAGAACGTTTTCGCTCAACGTTATGACAATGTATTTTAACTATGAAAACATTATAAGACTGTTCCAGAAACATTATATCAGGAACGTTTTTTTCTAACATTTACATAACTATTACATAACATTAGTGAAAGTTATGGGAACGTTCCCTGTTAGCTGGGTAGTAGGATATCGGTCGGGCTCTAGTATTTAGTGTCAGCTGTTTGATCGCGCCGGCGCCTCGCACACACTAGGGTTGGGCCCTAGAAGAGTAGGCAAGCTTTGGGACATACTATCACGTCACACACTTGCGTCTTTAGGGCCTGTTTACACCTGGTCATTTCATACGTTTTCGCTGATCGGATATCTATCTGATTTGTTAAAACGTTTCCATTTACACTTGGCCACATAAATGTGTCGTCGCAAACCGGATCTAAAGCCGATCTTCAGTTCCCGGGCTATATTTAAATTTAACGGAGTTCACGTCAAATCAAATCAAAAGATAAGCGCTGCATTTTATTAATTATCAGCTCATTTCAAGATCAAAGACCGCAATAGGAGAGCGCGCGGCATCAGCACTTGAAAGATAAGTTTGTCTTACTACAACTTTTAATGAAGATGATTGTGTGTTGACAGTCTGCGTCTTACTTTCAGTTTCATTCGCGGCAGTTTGCGCGTCGGCTTGCTGAAGAGATACTCAGCTACTCGTCCGCAGCGATGCTGGCTTTAGCGCAGTCTGACTAATGTCATAAAGCCTATAACACGCTCTCACACGTTTATTATTTTAACATCCACACTTCAAAAATCGACCTGAAATAGTAGACCATCCGGGGACTTTTGGCATACTCTTTTCAACACACTATGCTTTGGGACACACTTATTCTAATCTCACATACTATTTAGGATGGATAGTATGAACATTAGCGGTGCGTTCCAAACAGGATATATTGCCCTCCAGCTTGTACTTGAGATTGTTGATCAGTTAGTGCACGATAAGAAAAATGAAAAAGGTACTAGTAATTTTCCAGGACATTATCCGTTATCCATTATCCATTGTAACCCGAAAACACAAAATACAATGCATAATTTAAAATGTAGGTAAAAAACCTGTAAATAATAATTACGGAAAATTCCTTCATATGAGTAGATTTTGCCCTATTTTTACAGACTTTTCTTAGACTGTAGCATACCAACTACTAATACACTGTTTAAAACTATAATTGTTCAGAATGAGTAGTTTTACTAGATTACTAGCTAATAAAAATAACTTAAATTGAGCAACTTTTAGCAACAAATCAACCTTCCTTTAGCAACTTCCCCTGAAAATTAGTTGGCAACACTGCTCCCAAGGGCACTTCGGAGTGAAAACAATCATGGCCGCTTATATTTTAATATTATATTATGCATTTATATTATTTTATAAACACATCTAAATTAACATATATAAAATGTATTTTTTGCTCAAATTTGATGCAGTGACACAATGACGTCACTGCGCAATGACATCGCAACGTCATTTAGCCTTTAAGCATTATCGTATCGCATATCGAATATCGCATTATTTAATGAGTTATCGCATATCGCATTTTTCTTCAATATCTCACAGCCCTAGCCGCCATATTGAAGGGTCGTTCCAAACCGAAGTGTTCAAAACTGGCCACTTCAAAGGGCCCTTCGGGCTCCCATGATCCTTTGCGCAGATTCTTTGCATGATGACGGCACCTCCATGTGGGCACGTGATGATGACGCAGAAGGGCACTTCAAGAAACAGTTGTTTGGTCCCCTACACCCTTTATCCCTTCGAAGCTCTCACTCCGGAGGGTAAACCCTTTGAAGGGATTAGGGCATAGGGATGAGCCCTTCCGAATGGAACGCAGGGTGAGACGCAGGGTTGATCTTGAACAGGTCACATGACAACACTCGGAAGTTTCCAGTCTACGTCATCATAGGCTGATTAACATTCATGCGCTGAAACCAGTGTGAGGAATATTTAAGGTAATTTTTGAGACTCTTTGCCAGTATACTGACCGATAATGATCGCAATAGAAACCTCCTCACCTCCTCAGATGAACTCTGTTTCTGTGACACACTAATTTAGCCTAAATTTATATCAACTGAAAATGTTTAAGAACCGTGAATTCAGAACAAAATACGTACATATTTATTCATACTAACATTTATTTTACCTGGAAAAAAAGTTTTGTAAATAGTTGAGGGATTTTATATTAGGATGCACCTGACGTAGCTAAGTGTTTTGATATATTTTCTGTATTTTTGTCCTAACCAATTTTAACCTATATTATGAGCTTTCTCACAAAGAGAATATACGAAAACATACATGCCACATAACAATGATTTAATCACAGAGGTAGACTTTTTTACATGCACTATTATATCACGTTGAATGATCACAGATAATGAGCCTAATCACTAACAGTGTTTAATATTTGTGTCGCTCGTTGTGATGCATTTTTGCACGTGCGTTATGTCCTTAATTTGCAGCTTTCTAGTCCTTGGTTGCACATGATCAAGTTGGTCAAAGCAGGTATATGTTTCATGGTAACGTTTTATAAATTTATATGCCTTTTCATAGCTTGCATGGTGGATGCTGTGCTCATTGCAGCCTCACACGCATCTTCCCTGTTTCTCTGCAGATACATGGACTGAAAAGAATAGAAGGATGGTTTGTTTTTGTGTAAGGAGCTGGTGCGGTGCATGCCTGTCTTTGGCCGTGAGGTCATCCTTCCATCTCTTGGTGCAGCACTATGATTGTGGCATTGAACTCTGGCTCGTTTCAAAATGATCTCCTCACATCTGTGCTTCTCAAAGTGCATGTTCCTGCCCAAAGAACTGATATGTAAGTTGGATAATAAATAGGTGGATTTTGCAAGACAGCATGAATGTTTTGAAACCTTCAAGCCTGGTCTCACCAAGGAGCTTGGAAAGTTTGCGGAAAATTTTTTTCCATTCTTTTTCCTGTTGTTCTGGGGGATTTGTGGCACATATAAGGGACTTTGCAAGGCCACAGCATGCAGTGGACTTGGATAGCGATACACTTTCTTGCCCTGTTGACCTGGAAGATCAGAACGGTAAGTGGGTTGCAAGACAACTTTGGGTTGAAGTATGTCTGAAACATTTGGCCAGTGCGAGTCTGGATATAGATTCGCCACAGATCGGAAACCATCTTCAGGAATCGTCTCATTTGAGGAATGGGATTGAACTCCTCTATGCTCTTGCAATAAAATGGGTCAGCTCCTCTGAGTTTCCTCGCCCATGAAATATTGTCCCTCTCCGAGAGAGTTCTTATATTTTAAGGAGACCAAAGAGGTGGAGAGAGAGCTGATGGTATCGTCACAGTCAGAGGGGGCAAAAACATCCCCAAAGTCGCTGTCGCAAAAACCTGAGCTTGCCCTTGACTGACTTTCCATGTGCGAGTGAAGTTGTTGGTCATGCCAGCTTCTTTCTGTCAGGCAATGATGATGAAGCAGGTCTTCATATGAATGACTGGAACATGACCAAAGTCCTCTGGATTTTCTAGCCTCATGAACAGCCTCTTCAGAAAAACTGCGCCTGAGCTTTAGTCTGAACGAGTCTTTATCCACCCAGTAATTATGCTGTCCTTGCTGGATATTTGTTGACGTTGAATCTTCAGGATCTACTTTGGTTTTTCCTAGGGCAGTCTCCACCATTACTTTGTGTTTGACTCTCAGGACCTCCAACTCCAGGAGCCCTGCCAAAGTAGCACGAAATCGCTGTCTAATACATTTCCTCCCAGTGCTGGTCCATGGTGCCGCTTCATTCTCTTCTCTGTGCAGAGCATTAGATAACATCCTGGTAACAGGCTGAAGGCCCTAACCTCAGGCTGCCTTTCAAAGTGAAGGACTTTATAGCGAAGTCACCCATATCAATGCAAATGTATTTAATTCTAGACGTTTCTATTGCTCTACCTGTCTATTGATAAGATTTTCACTAACCTTTAACCTTAGGTGAAGAACATGTTAAAGATAAAACTTAATGCTATCGATGTGAGATTAAACTTCAAAAGTTAACGACGTTAAGATTTGGGAGATCAATATCACTGCCAGGGATAGCTTTGGCTCTGTTGTATATGTCAATGTGAGCATGAAAGCATTTCAGGTATTCATAGTTTAAAATAGTTTTAAAATCAAACTTTATTTAATATTTAAGGCAAGGCACCACAGATGAAAATGGTAAAAAAATAAAAAAAAAATCACCATAAAAGCTTTTACAGAGGGGATTTTGGATATCTAATTTTATCACTCCATAAATCATAAAATACTGTTAACAGCCAGAAAAAAAAATCAATATGTTTAGGAACAAAATGTTTGAATTATATATGAACAACCCCTGATCACCCCCTTGTGTCAGTATTTTGAACCACCTTTTGCTTTATTTACAGGCTTTAGTCTGTTGGGATATCTCTCTACTAAATTTGCACATCTAGACTTTGCAATATTTGCCCACTCTTCTTTGCAGAACTGCTCAAATTCAGTTAAATTTGATGGGGACCATTTGTAGACTGCAGTCTTCAAGTCATTCCACAGATTTTGTGGGGGTGATTATTTTCTAAAACCACTATGTATATATTATTATTATTGTATATATATTATATATCAAAAACAACATACTGATCTGTAAAAAAAAAAAAAAAGTGTTATGTATATAACATATAATGGGGTTACTGGGCATATTCACTTTATTTTATTTTTTAACAAACCAGCCTGTTGTCTTTGTTTTATATTTTTCTTCAACTGAAAGTTCAATCAATTACATTTGAATATGGCCTCTATAATCCTATTCTTAAAGATTAAAGTAGTTGGTTATTGCACCGTTTCCTGATGCTATTTAAAAAATGAAGAAACGAATGAGCTCTGTATTATTTAACTTCTAATAGTGTCTTCAGGAATTATTAAATGCTTTTAATAAAAAGATCTTAAATGTTTGATCATAACATTTACACAATTTCTAAAAAATCTTAACATTCATGACATTAAAAATATAAGGTACCATTTGAAAAAACTCAAATATACCCATGTTAATCTTCATAGCTAAGAAAGCAACTGCCTCATTTAATATTGCAAATAGTTGCATTGATTGTTACTACTGTAATGATTAACAGGTAGTTTCATCACTGCAAAATAATCTCTCTTAGACTCCACTGGCAGCAACATGTTTGTTAATGAATCTTAATTAACTCTCTTACCCTTGTTCCATCTTGATTATAAATCAACCCCATTACAAAGCATTTACTATCATTGAAAACATGACACTTAATTTCTGTGTGTATCTTTTTATTTACAAGCACATATCAAAATGTGTAATCCTGCATTTGAAGATGCGACAACTTCTGCAGGACCCTGATACACCCATTCATTCATCAGCATCAGATTCTTCATCATCTTGGCTGATCTGGAAGTAGCGCAGCTCATAGCTTTCCTTATCCGACGCCACCACCCTCAGCCAGTCTCGCAGGTTGTTCTTCTTCAGGTACTTCTTTGTGAGGTACTTAAGATACCTGAGGAACATGGGGTTTTTAGTAAATACACAAAGCCTATAAAAAGAACACTAATAATTTACAGCAGCCTGCTGATGAAACAAATCTCACCTTTTAGAGAACTGCTTCTCTGATGTGACGCTGATTTTGTTCTTCTGACGCACAATTTGCACTACATTTCCCAAGTTGCCTGTTTTGCCATTAACCTTCACCTTCTCTTTCAGAAAGGTTTCCTGTTAGTAATAAAACAGCATGACCACTAGGGAAGAGAACCCTAGGCATTTAACTAGGGAAGAGAGCCCTAGTTATGGCAGTGTTAGGGATGTGACTACCTGAACATAAAATGCAGAGTTAAAGGATACTTTATTTAAAAAAAACGAACGTTTTTTTTGGATCAGAAATTAATAGATTTAAAGCAGGGGTGTCAAACTCAGTTCCTGGAGGGCCGCAGCCCTGCAGAGTTTAGTTCCAACCCTGCTCCAACACACATACCATGTAGTTTTAAAATCGGTCTAAAGGATCTGATTAGCTGGATCAGGTGTGTTTAATTAGGGTTGGAGCTAAACCCTGCAGGGCTGCGGCCCTCTAGGAATTGAGTTTGACGGCCCTGATTTAAAGGAACTTAAATTGAATGTATAGATATTTCTGACAAGAACAAATAAAACATTCATTTGATTTCTAGCCAATGCAAACAGATTTTTTTTTATTTTTTTGATCTTATACCATGTCTGGAAATGAAATTCTCATAACATTTTCAGGCTTTCCATGCCCACAAGAACCCTGACCATGAATAGAAGCCATGTGTTTCTATAATCAAATATAGTTTTTTATACAACTTACAAAGTTGGCAGAGTCAAGGATCCCATCCTCCACTGGGTGAGTACAATCAAGGGTGAATTTCCAGGAAGCACCCTTTTTATTCCTTTTTACAACTTTGCATTTTGCATTGGCTAGAAATCAAATAAAACATTCATTTGATTTCTAGCCAATGCAAACAGATTTTTATTTTTTTTTTTTTATTTTTTTTGATCTTATACCATGTCTGGAAATGAAATTCTCATAACATTTTCAGGCTTTCCATGCCCACAAGAACCCTGACCATGAATAGAAGCCATGTGTTTCTATAATCAAATATAGTTTTTTATACAACTTACAAAGTTGGCAGAGTCAAGGATCCCATCCTCCACTGGGTGAGTACAATCAAGGGTGAATTTCCAGGAAGCACCCTTTTTATTCCTTTTTACAACAGTCTGCCTTTTCTAAAGAAACAAATATATATACATAAATACTCAATTAAGCATCTGCTTGTTCAGAGTAATACTTCACTCATAATTTGTATATCCTTATAAACTCATTACTCTTATGAAAACAAATGACCACAAAATGAAACGCACTACTGTAATACTCTCTCTCATAACGATAACCAAATAATGATAATGATAACCAATTGTAATGATAGTCAATTTGAATGGTTCGGTCATGCTAAAATGCTCATCCACGTGTCTCCCAGCAGTAAGTCAAACGAATTAGTTAATATATCATTCCATTTGCAGAAACTATCTTTAGGTAACATAGTACATATAAATGTAATACGTCTGATATTTTAATCACACAAAACAAAAACTAAAATGCATTTAACCATAAAAACCGTTCTCCGGGCGACACATACGGGTGCCATCTTGACGAGGCTGGCGTAAAAGAGGAAGTAGCGTATGTCCGCGCAAGAGTTCACAAAATGTTCTCGCATTTGATTGGCTGCCGGTTAGTGAGGATTCCTGAGGACTTTTTGGTCCGATTTGTGAATGAATCGTTATTTTGAATGAGTCGGATCTTTTGAATTAATCAGTTGAACGCAACATAACCGATCTGAACAATTCGTACTGAAGATTTGACTGACGGGGCGAAAAGTAAGTTACTTTAAAAACTAAATAGCAGAACGTTACAATAAAACGCATTGGAAATTTGATTGTTAGATTTTATCAAAACATACGAAACAGAATTTTCAGCCACGAGATTAAAATGAATTCAAATTATATTTAAATTATAAATGGATTTATGTTTCAGAATCAGAGCTGCAGAAACTAAACGCCCTAATTAATAATGTTTTAAATACTCTAACAACAACATGTACCCACATGTGAATCTATTATTGTGATATATGCCACGTTAGGTAAAAGTATATTATTATTATGTCTGATGTAAAAGAATCCGTTTTTTGAACCGGTTCTTTAAACCGAACTGATCTAAATAACCGATTCACGGAAATTGTTCGGTTTGGATGCAAAGTTATATTTGTACAATATTTAAAAAATGTATTATTGTATAAAAATTGTATGATATAGCATTTGTTTCAGCATGTAAATTAGAGCGTTTAAAGTTATGCATTTCAAATCCACATGACTTTTGTCACATTAACTTAATCAGTGATTTTATTTCAGGTTATATTTTGTGCAGTCTCTAGTATTGATTACATAGACCTGCTGCATGGCTCTTTAGTAATTAGTGTATATGGATGTAGCTGGCTTAACATTCAATTAACATGAAAATAACCACAAACAGGCTATTCAAACATTCACGTTTACACACTCAATAGAGTTAGAAGGGAGAGCCTGGGCTCTGCTTACCTACTAGGGAAGCATGACTCATCCTTACATCATTGTGCAGACATACCAAGACAAAACTGGGCGAGGCTTCAGCAAGCACATGGGCACAACCTGATTTGCCTCTTATTGGGCAGATTTCTACTCTTGTACAAATTTAAATAGGCACATATGCCTGTTTAAATACAATCTTCAGTTTAGTGTCGCTCAACTACACAACAGCAAAACTGGAAACTAATCCATTTTAATTGACACGAAGATATGACTCTACATTCAATTCACTTTGAAAAAGCACTCAGTTGGAGCCAGTTAGATGAAGTTTATGTTTGTATAGACTGCAGTGCCACATGTCTCCAATAATGAACTGCAATGCTTTCATTCAGTGTTGTCTGGGCACACAGCCACAAATAGGAAATGAGCGTTTGGCTCCACCCATGCAGACGATTTGGCAGCCAAATCCAACAAAACTTTGTCTTTCTTTCCCAGTTACTGTCCTCAATTATGTTCCATGTCATTTTGCCCACTTATTTAAGTTCTTTAATTTAACATTTAAAAGCATACAATAGATGTTAAAGAAACGTTTTCATACATGTATAATATAAAAATGTATACATTATTTTACTTTGTTAGATTCAGAACAAACACTGCTATGAACAACAAAATCACACCATCAAAATAGACACTTCCTATTTATATAATAATATGAGCACCTTTTTCCAAATCTAAAATTCTAACTTGATCAGACAAGTTACACTAGGTAATTTTTCCTGAATTTACGCAAGTAGGACATTCATTCACCATAGTCTGTGATAAATTCTCATGTGTTCAATTTTGCCAGATGAAAATCTGCTGTAACCATGAAGAACCACCTTTAACCAGCCTTCTGGATCTATTAAGTTTTTATTTTTTGCTCTCTCCAGTCAAGGTGACAAAGGCCTCGAGTAAACAAAGGAAGATTAGAACTCACAAAGATTTAGTCCTCAAGCTCATTCTGGAGCAGCACTGATAAGAGCCTACCTGGAGACAAATACAGGCTTCAACACTTTATTTAAGGTCATCAATGACAGCCAAAATCAAGCTGGCTGCTATTGTGTTACAGAGGTATTCGCACATGGCCATCACATCCTTTCCACTTCTGAACAATTAGAGACTGGCATTTAAGGGGACATTTTGCTGGAGTTTATTTCTCTGTCATAGCGGTATTACTTGAGAAGGTACTTTTAAAGTACTGCAGGTACAAGGAAGTGCCAACTACCAGTGTGCATCTCACTTTGGGGGGAGGGCATTCAATTGAGAAGAATTAACTATAGTGCCAGCATGGCATAGATCATGTAAGGAGAAAAAGTAAAAGTATGGCACCCAAAGAGGGAGAAGGAGGAAAAAAAAAAAAAGTTCAGTGTCAGTTGGGGGTTTCCTCTCTTCGCAACACCTTGCGTAAATCCTGCACACTAATTACTTAAGAAATTCAAGAATACAAGAAAGGATAAATGGATCCCATCATTTAACATTCAGGAATGTAAGTGGTAAAAACTTAAGGGGGGAAAAGGGGGAGGTTGAGGGGGTAAACACTGACATTATTAAACCTCTTACCCGAGAGAATGCCAACTGACCCGACAAGTCCAGCACAGTATTGGAAGGAGAAGAAAAAAGGAATACAATCACAACAAAAAATTTGAGGTTGCTTGTGAAGGCCATAGCTTTGGTGACAAATAAAAACAAAAAAACAAATGCAAGAGATTTGTTAAAGTGTAGCATGTTGCAGCCTGAGCAGCCCAGTCTCTCTTCCTATTTGGTCATGGGTTTGACAGCCACTGCAGATTCTTCGCCCATAGCTGAAAGCACAGTAACCTGCCAAACAAAGAAAACAATGAGTGGGTTACAATGACAAAAAGCAGCTAAAGTACTAAATGCATTCGTTCAAACAGGTGCACTTACCAACATCTCTTCACCAGCTGCAAATTTGCTTTCGATTTCTTTGCCCAGGTCACCTTCTGGCACACGCAAGTCCTCACGCACGTCACCATTGTCCATCATAAGAGAGAGGAACCCCTCGGTTATGTCAACCACCTAGGAGATAAAAATAATTTTAAAGAACAAGTGGAATAAACAGAATATCTAGCTAAAGTCAGAGACTAAAGTATTATGAAAAGCTAAAGTATCATCGCTTTATTGCCCTGGTGGAAAAGATTCTCCTTAGACAACCAATTAAGTTGAAAAAACCTCACTACGAAGTACAAGAAAATCAGCAAGACAAGCTGCAATGAACCAATAAGTTAACGTAAACTTTGTGTGTGTGTGTGTGTATATATATGTATATATATATATATATATATATATATATATATATATATTAGGTGTGTAGCATGCAAGTTACATAAAATGTATCTCTATACTATGTATAAATATTTTAAGTGCATAAATAACGTCATATAATTTATATTATATACAATATGAGATTGGGACATACTAAAATTAAAGCATAAATCAAAAGCAGAGCCCAAAAAGTCTAATTTTTCTCCAAATGCATAGCAAAACAATGATCATTTAAATTTCACCTTACCTAAAACAAGCAAATTTAATATTCAAGTTAATTAAAGTGACCAAAACATTGTTCAATGCAATCAGGAACAATAAAGCACCGTGACCTCTAAATCCTAAATAAACTGACAAAAGCCACCATGTTGGAGACTGTGCAAAGTTTGCCCTTATTATGCACAACTACCGGTCAGGAGAACTTTAGGGTAAATGAGGTACATGAACTCCCACAAGAAAGCTTAAATCTTGCATTTCACCAAGCCATGCACATCTCACCTGGTAGTCATTTCTTTTGGTGTTAGGCACGTCCATGTTGTGGGTGGAGGGGCAGATATCTTCATACTTCTTATTTGTGAAAATATCAATTCCAACCATGTGAACCTGCAAAGAAAGACTGGAGCACTTAACACCAATAACTAACACTAGGTGGTTAAAAACAGCCATGCAAAAGTAAGACAAAAATATTACCTTTGCATGACCATGCTTGCCAGTTTTAGAAGTGGACATTTCGACAATTTTGCAGGGACGACCCTTCAGCACCACGAATCCGTTCTTACGCAGGGCGCTGCACTGCATGGGGTAAGTGGTTGAAGCCCCGGCATCTCCGCTGGTGAAATCAAGATCTGGATCTGCCATGATGGGGATCTAAACAAGGGGCACTGGAGGGGGACATGTGGGGAATTAGTACGTTTTAACTGAATAAAAAAAAAAAGTCTCCATCACATAAGAATATCATGGTTAAGTCGCGTGCGAATGAGCGAAGTTTCCACTGTAGGAGTTAGATAAAATGATAAGATAAAATGCAGTTTACTATAAATCGATTCTTTTTTGTTTGCATTAGCACCCAAACCTGCCGCATCATGCGACCCTAATTCTACCACATTAACGGATCCGATCCAAATAAACGATCAAACGTCAGCTAACAGTTGTTTATGTTATCAAATGTGTGGTTAAAATACTTAACTAGCCTCAAATGTCACTTTACAGCCATTATTTTGCACTCAATTAACACAAAGACCACGCCGAACCAGGCCAGATGGACTCTCTTTGGGCTAGGTACGTAATGCTAATGCAAGTTATACCGCTTTAACCAGAAACACTCACTAAAAATAAAATAAACGGATTAACTCGTTAATTCTACGTCACTGTTCACAGAAAAAACGAACAGTAAACCGCGCGAAACGGGTCTAATGCGCGTGGCGCACGTCAACGTGGTTTCGCCGCTGATCAATGACTCGGCTAAGAGGCTAACGCCCCATTCTTCCGTATAACTAAATATCTGAAACACACAATATAACAACGACCACGACTGATAACTAGAACGTAACAAAGCGGAGGAAAAGGGTCTCGTGCGGTTTAGCCAAAGTTTCAAACGTGCCTCTTTTCAGTCAAGTCACTGCGCGCGGGGAAAGGCCTCCCGCGTGCGGCGCTGTGCAGTGCTTGCTCGCGGCCTGCAAACTAGAGAGCAGCTCCACAAGCCGCCTTAAAGAACCACCGCAACACGCTTTCTCAAGACGACCCGGTTACGTTCAACAGCAAGACACACGCTTTCAAGCCCGACAGCCTTTTAAAGACAACACCGAGACAGGAAAGGTCTGTGTAATTTTTCGTCACAATTCGAACACGCTTCATGCAGCACTTACTTCCAAGAAAAAAAAGGAACGTCAACACGCATGCGCGGCCAATTTTAATACGGCATCCGTACAGTGGGCGGGATTCCTCTTCTTCTGCGGACACTAAAGTGTGTGCTTAGTGCCTCACAGCGCTTAGGATCGTGATAGTGCCGCTTTCATTTCAAATTACATTTCAGACAGTATGTATATATCATAGGTATATACAGTGTTGGGGGTAACGCATTACAAGTAACGTGAGTTGATTTAAAAAGTAACGCAAAAGTAACGTAACGCATTACTTTCCATAAAAAGTAACTAAGAAACGTAATTAGTTACTTCTTTATGAAGTAACGCAATATTGTAATGCATTACTTTTAAAAGTAACTTTCCCCAACACTATATACACTACCAGCCAAAAAGTAAGAATAATTAAGTTCATGCTTGCAAAATGATTTCTGAAGAGTCATGAGTGACACTGAATACTGGAGTAATGGCTGCTGAAAATTCAGCTTTGCCATCACAAAAAATAAATAACATTTTAAAATATATTAAAATAGAACAGTTATTTAAAATTGTAATAATATTTCACAATATTAATGTTTTAAATAAATGTAGCCTTGGTACAGACTTCTTTCAAAAACGTATTCCAAACTTTTGGCTGACGAGAGAGAAAGAGAGAGGCAAATTTTGTAGGCTATTTCAATCAAGTAATAAAAAATATACAATATAATAATATAACAGAAATTATATGCTCCATAAATGAGTCAAAACTGCAGTTACACAACGGCTTTCGAGCAGTGGTCTTGTTTTGGATTCAAACAACTAGTTAAAAAATGTCAATTCGGTATAAATTTTGTGAATTCTGACCTTTAAAACGAACATTTTAAAGATTACACTCATTAAAAGACTTGTATAACACAAACATCCAAAATGCATATGACAAAACACAATATATGCATTATTATTATTATAAAAATATACAATCTATTTTATATTTTATATATAATTTCATTTATAATTATTTATTATTATAAAAGAATATTACATAAATTATTATAAAAATAAAGTATAACAGCACACATGGTCTGGTTCGATGTGTCAGTTTATTTTTTTTTTAAAGCAAAGAAACTGACTGTTTTAGGTGACAAGTGAACACAATGGGTGAGTTTCCAAAATCTAAAATATTTCCATTTATCCATTTCACATTCTTCTCATTCAGAAACGCTTGACTCCATCTGAATAAGATCAAAAACTAGAGTTTCAGTCAAAGTAGAAAAGGGTCTAACATGAAGATTGACAAAATCAGTTATGCTCATTATTGCTAATAACTTTTCTAGACTGATCCACCAACCTGCTTTGCCATCACATTTGATATGCAGTCTTCTCTCGGTGATGTTCCTCTTTAAACATAAACACACTGAATATTGATTAACAAGACTAGAATAGATCCACAAACAACCCTATAATATTACTTTTTTTTTTTGCAGTTATCAGGGGTGAATTTAATTTATAAGGAAAGAGCACTGAACAATACTGCATTAAAATAAGAAAACAAACCAACAACATATAATAATAAAAAACAAGTTAAATAAAGCACTCATATTAAAACATCTCTGACATTATAATATAGATTTCATAGTTCTTTCAAACTAATCAATACAGCTAAAATAATCAATCCCCTAAAAAATAAACAGCAATAATACTGCTGCTTTCTAAATACAATGAGATACCAGCATTAAAGCACTGTACAAAACAATAAATAAAATGGATCAGAATATCAAGAAAACTGGGTTGTAAAAAGTTTTACGACCATAAAATATTAGGTTTAGAAGATTCAGCTTTTTTGTAGATGACACAAAAGGGATTTGAGTGACTTTGTTGTTTGTTTGATTTATAATATGTAATAAATTGTAAGCAATAAAATGTAACACCAACTACAAGGACTAGGCTCAAATTAGATGAGACCACCATCTCTTAAAAGTCCAGGCTACATTTAAAGTTTGGAACAAAACTCTAGTTTAATAGCCTTAAAAATCTATTTATAAAATACTACAGCCTCCATATTTTGTGAACAAAACATGATATGCCCAGTTTCAGCTTCAAATGTCTATTACAGAAGGCTTGTAATCTTGAAACCTCACAATTTCTCATTTTAGTGTCAGAATGCCTGTATTATGTCTATAACTGGTGGTTTTACAGGCTTAAAAAATACAAATTAAAAATGGTATGTTTAAATCACACACAACAAAAAAAATAACATGCAGCCAATATCCAGAATGCTCGGTTGTGCTATAAATCTCAAAGTTTAATACACGAAAAATAAGAGAAATACAGAAATAAAACAACTCACTCGGCCTGAATATAAAGGATGTACTTACAGTATTAATGTCCATATTAAGAAAGAAAATGAGGTCAAGCACACATCAAAAGACTTTCCACCACTGAAGGTGGTGCATGAGAGATGAAGAAATCAACCGACCTCACAATTGTGTTGATAAAATGAATGGGAAGACCAAATAAGTACTTCACACCTGCACACACACACACACACACACAAATCCACTCAGTTCAGTTTGATGGACAAAAACATGAAGTCTCAAAAGATCCTAGTTGTGTCAGGTGAATTTCACACTCTTCCGCATCATTTGGAAGGCCTTCAAGTCTATTAATGGGCGATTCTGCAGTTCGAGGCATTTTTTAGTATGTGTAATCCTAAAAATGCAACGTCATTGAACTGTTTAATATAAATTACAATATATATACGATATTTTTGAAACTTTCAAGTAGATTTTGAAATAAAGTGAATAAAGTTGTGTGCTTGTTCTAAATGCAACGTCATTGAACTGTTTAATATAAATTACAATATATATATGATATTTTTGAAACTTTCAAGTAGATTTTGAAATAAAGTGAATAAAGTTGTGTGCTTGTTCTAAAAAAAAAAAATCACAATAATCTAATGTAAAAATCTTTAAATTAATTGATAATATACGATTCTTGGCATGGCGGTGATGACAGTAGTACTGGATTTAAAAAAGTTATAAAAATGAAATACTGAAAAGTTGCCCTAATTGAAGAATCACCCTAATATGAAGTGTATGCTTGATTTGGCTGTTTTACAACACACAGCACCAAGATTTTTTATTTATTTATTTATTTATTTTTTAAATCGTCCATTTGTGAATATTTCTGTCTGGCACTCCACACTCAAATCACCTCTCAGTCTACATGGAATGACACCCCTCCACTGTGTCACTTACAAAGGTTTGATTTATGGCATCAATAATCATTATCCACATAGAAAACTGAACCGGTCCAGGTGAACAGAAACGAGGTAGCCTAAAAGGAAGCTCTACTCACAAAACACTACCTTGCGTTCACTGATTCATGTGATTCACACAGAGGAGGAGGTGGATCTTACAGAACCACAAACAGCATCACACATTTCTGTCACACCCTCACAGTTCCTATGCATTAGAATCGGAGGCGGGACTCTTTTCCAAAACGGAAGTGGATATTTACAGAAGGTGGTCGTGAACGTCCCTCTAGAAACAGTTGGCGAGGAGAGGTGAACAATCGACTCACCAGGCTCAATTCCCTTTCCCTTTATTGCACTTTACTGAAAGTCAAGAGAAAACAAACTAAAAAAATACAAAACTGCAGCACATCCTAATAACACGTGTTACTCCTGATATGAAAACAACTGAGATTGCTGGTTGATGTTAATGGTAACATTTCTACTTTTTTGTATCGTTGGTGGAAAGCATTATATTTCATCATTCATTCACATACACACACTCTTACAAAGAAACTGTGATGCTCTAAACAGAATCTTAACATATTTTTTTATGTTTCAGTAGAAAGCTCTGTAGTATTTACCAATCAGTTGAAGTATTCAGACTGTTTCTTAGCACTGTGATAAAGCATTCAAGAATCATCTCTGCAGACCAGCTTCACCCTCAAATGTTCTCATAGGGCCAGTAAAAACAGTTAAAGGAAAAAAAATTCTCAACTTACTGTCTTTTTTGTCTAAAACTTTTTTGTCAATGTCCAGGCTGTTATTTGTGACCAGAGTTGTCAAGTAGGATTTTCAACAACTTTTTTGAGCCTGTTCCTCACACAAAACATCATATGGCTTCAGAAACTAGAAATATAGTGCACGCTGACAACTTTTATGTTTTGGAGCTTGACAGCTTCTGGTCACCTTTTACTCTCATTGTATGTAAGAGAGCAGCTCGAACACTCTGCTAAATGTCTCTTTTTGTGTGTAACTGAGGAATGAAAGTCATACAGTTTTGGAACATCATGAGGGTGAGTATATGAGAAAAGAATTTTAATTTTAGAGTGAACTATCCCTTTAATTGCCAAAATACCCATAACATAAGTTGTAAAGACAATGGAAATGAATGGAAAAAGGTCTGATCTATAGCACCATCTCCCTGAGCACAAGGAAAACAGTGCCAAACCACACGTTCCAAATGTGAATACTATAGAGCTTTGGGCTAAAACTAGGAATGCACAGTATGAATATTCAGGATAATTTATATTTTCCATTATACGTCCATATCAGCAGGCATCAATTTCCATCCAAAAAAGTAGCATTTCCTTTTCCTTACAGAAATATGCATAAACATCAATATATTATGGACTTAAAAAATAAAAACAAGCAGCTTTGCGAATTCATATTTAAGGCATTCTGTGGACAGCCCAAAGTGTGTCTGCTCCAACGTAATGTGGCGAAGTATCATACAAGTCTTAAATATCAGACATTCGAGTGATATCCACATGACACAAACATTTGTGTGCATTCCAAGCTGAAACATAAAAAAGAAATGACGTTGATCACACAAACCAGCCTCAATGGATTCATCCCACAAGGGAGGTTTACTGACGTTCAGCGCAACCGTGATAACTTATTGTCAAAAAGTGTCTTAACAGTACAAATATTCACTCTACTCTGTGGGTCTTATTCCCCAAATTTCCAGTCTTGACCTCCAGAAGAATCTAGATACAGATTTTTAACG